TGGGTTCGATTCTCAGCACCACATATAAATAAATTAATAAACAAAGTAAAGGACCATCAACAATTTATTATTTAAAAAAATGTTGAGTGAATTTGCAATAAATCGTTTTTCTACAGAATGTTTTCAGCTAATTGCACTCAGGTCATCAGTGGCTTATATTTCTAACAGGCTTTTTGTTAAGTAAAAAAAATTAATACATGGACATAAAATATACATTGTACCGTTAATATTTGCATGTTAGCATTATAAACAAGTACTATGTTTATATTGAAGCTTATTAGATTCTATATGCTGATGTATACAGATTTTACTTAGATCCTATGTATAAAACCAATAGCCAAATATTAAGAATTGAGTTCATAAAACTCAATGACTAACCTGTGTTAAAATTGTGTATATTAAAGATCGACATTTTAATGGAAAGATAGAAGGGGGAAATCAAGGAATCTCTAAGTCTTCATAAAGCAGCCTCTCTAAATATTTTTAACTAGCTGCTGAGATCTCCAGAATTGTATTTTTGAATTTTATTTCATCCCTATACTAAAAGTCATGCATTAAAATGTGTGCAACAATATATAGGGCACACTTTTCCCCTTTAGATTATCAAAACTCTTCTTAATTCTTTATTAGCTGAATTTTTTAGCAGAGTGGATTTTTTTTTAGCTGAAAACAAATTTTACTCATGCACTAGTACAAATACATTTATGCAGCTCCTTTATATACCATCAAGAGCTCCAACCATGTGATATGTCTAGAGGACACTTCAGTGAGTAGAAATTAGAAGCCAGCATTCCAGTCATTTGATTTTTTTTTTCTTTAACAACAGGGACATGAAAACCCCAAAAGACTTAAGGGGATGAGAATTTTTTTAATTGTTTAAAGAAATCATTTGACATTCATTTGTCAAATAACCTACAAGAAATTTCCATTAGCATTCTGTAATTACATAGAACAAGAGAATACTTATTCCTAATGATTACATTCCAGAATGCAATATGATTAGCAGCTGTTTTTCAGAGGGCTTATCAAATTTACTATTGTTATTGAATCAGGCATAATAGTGTAACCTTAAACAAAAGCTGTGCACCATTCAGCCAACTAGTAAATTATGTTATCTGATCAGATTCTTACCTTGTGTTTTTCTGTATATGAATTTTTGCTTTATTAGGCATTTGGTACTCCAACTTTTATTTCAGAACATAGTGCACGCACAGAAAGGGGGTTACCCTTTTGGGTATTGGTAATTACATTCATCAAATATTGTCTCATATGAAATTAACTCTTAAAGCAGATCCCAAAACGGGTATTCATGACTCCATTTTACCAAGGGATGGAAACAAGCCACACAACCAGAATTATTCTTCAGAAGCATACTTTGTTATCAATTATATAACTAAAGAAGAAAAATACATGTATAACAGAAGAGTTGATCAACATAAAGATTAAGATCTAAATCTGATATCAATAAGAAGCTAAGAGTTGGGCAGGGGGTGTAGCTTAATGGTAGTGTGCTTTACTATCATGCATGAAGCCCTGGGTTCAATCCCCAATATTGGGGAAAGTGGAAGAAGCAGCTAAGAATTAACAAAAACTTTCCTGACATTGAAGGGAAGAATGATTACCACCTTAATGAGCTTTTACCATTATTTAAGTAAAGTTAGGAAAAAAGAGCAATAATAAGTTGCAAATGTGTCTCCTTAAAAAGAAAGGGATCAACCCATTTTTCTTACCATGGAGAATGGGATCAAAGAGGAAAGAGGTTTAAATTGCACTGTGAGGTATTTCAGTTCTAAGATTAAGTTTCCTGATAAGAAGGAGTTTACAACCCTGCAATTGCCTATTGAAAGAATATATCTTTGCAGAAGTATATAAAGAAACAGTGACAGTAATGCCCAAAAGCAGATCAAATAAGTGATTTTCTTTTAAGGAAATAAAAAATGGAAGTGTTTTCTTTTAAGCCAGGAAGGTTTTTTGGTTTTGTCTCTGAAGGATCTATGCTTGTATCACACCACCCCAAATCTTTTTTGAGTTTCCCCAGATGACCTTAAAGTGAATATCCTGCCTCAGCCTCTCACATAGCTCAGATCACACACACATGCCACCATGCCCAGCTCCAAAATCTTAAGTAAGGAAGACAGAACTAATAGTTGAGTGGTTACTGTTTACTGAGCACTCTGTTCTCAATTTATCTCATCTAATGTTCACAATAATGCTGATAGATCTATCATATATATATATTTTTTTTCTCAAGATTATGTGCTTTGCCTAAAGTCACAGCTAATTTAGGCATCTTAGAGCCCCGCTCACCTAAATTAGTGTTCCCCTTCTATACATCTCCCTACCTCAGTCTTTAAAATGTCAGAGTCATCACCTACAAAGGATTTAATCAGGAACTAGAACACAGCATCTTCAAAATTCTGCTTTAAGCTAGTGGGAACGTAACATTTTGACTTGTACGTCTCAGTAGGCCAAATTAGTGGGGGCTAGCCTTTGTGTTCTGACCTCTTATCCAAAGGAGTCAGAGGAAGGCTTACCCAAACTCAAGTATGTTTCTCCCCATACTGATTCAAGACCAGTGACTTTTTGGTTTTTAAACCAATGAAAAGCTATTATTCAGCCTAGCAAGAGTACAAGTTATTTTGTAGGAGGAATCATTTGGGTGATAGGCTTTATTAGCAAAAATTGCTTAGAGTTATCTCATTTAAAAGCAAAGGCCTATGCTTTGTTACTTTATACATGGAGCAATTTGGCCTCAGGTTTTTAAAACTCACTTTCAAAAGAATCAAGGAAACCCACCAAATGTTATTTGAGATCCCAAGGACTGCTTTATGCCAATGACTCACCAATCCATATCACGGAAGCTGAAAAACTTAATGTTGTTTTATTTTGTGGGATCTTAAATGGAAGATTCTGCTCTGTTAAAAATGCCTATCCTAAAATCCTGAAGAGATCATTATCATTACACTGATACAATTTCCATGATTCATATAACTTACAAAAATAATACCTTTTTTAACTCAACAACTAGTTTGTGGTTTCGACACTGGTGAATGGACTGGCAAGCCAATCCCAGCTGCAGATCAGCCTCTTGGCTTAACAACACATAATCAACCTCTTCCCAGAAGGGTGAATATATTTGTGGCAGAAGAACAAAGCCTTTTTAAGAAAAGTATTAGCCATGGGTCAAAAGATACTTAATTAAACATATTATGAGGAGAAAAGTACTGTAATGTAGAATTTTAAGTTAATAGTCATTTAGTCAAACTTCTAATCAATGCTTGAATCTTCTCCACATTCTCTGTGCTCAGTTCTTATCTGTGCTCTGCTTGACAGAAGGTATTGCTTGAAGGTATTGTGGCCCCTTTCTCCCTGAAATAAAGCCTAAACCAGTGGCTCTGTAACTTCTATTCTGTGGGCCTTATTCCACCTTTTTGAACTACAGAGCATCTTGCTATAATAGACTAGTTGTATCCACCTCCCCCCAAATCCCTCAATTATTCTTCAAATGTCTTAAATTTTAAGTTCCTTCACAAGCTGGTTATTCCTCGATTTGTTTTTAATTTCAAAGTATGGCTCTTAGGAATGATTATAACATTTCAACATCATGGGACATCAGAAAGAAGTGCCATTTCTCCTCTTCTAACATTACTATTTTAGTTAGTGGTTTGAAGGTATTTCTTAACTCAGTATGAAGAAATTATCAGAGTGTACAATGTAGCAGAAGGCAGCTTTCCTTTCAAATACAAAAGAGGCTCTTGTCAGAAATGAAATCCAAAGAAAATAGATCCTATATCTTTGCTGTTAAAATTAGTGTTTAACAATACTGCTTAGTCGGAATACATTTGTCAGAAAGATGAGATGCAAAATTTTTTTCAGTGCTTTTCTCTAGTTAATTCTAAAGTCTTACAGTTACATCAAAACACACCTGTCAGAACCATAACTGAGGAAAGTAACCAGTTGCAGTTAAAACAAACAAAAATTCTAGAAAAAAGAAATGGCAAATCCTAAATAAACCTCTTCCAGAAATGAATGAGGAAGTGATCCCTAGGTATATATGACCATGAAATACACAAATTCTATAAGGTTAAGAAATAGAACATGTCTATCTTTAAGGCCATTAATATGATACATGGAGGAAAAGAAGCAGTATTTTTTATTATTATTATAGATGACATCTCATTCTGTGGCTTAGTTTACCAAAAAAAAAGTTTAATCACAAGACCAGTTCAAAATCATTTGCAACTGGTTATTTTTGTTTGTTTGTTTGTTTTGTAACGGGGATTGAACTCAGGGGCACTTGCTCACTGAGTCACATCCCCAGCCCTATTTTGTATTTTATTTAGACATAGGGTCTCATTGAGTTGCTTAGCACCTCACTGTTGCCAAGGCTGGCTTTGAACTTGAGATCCTCATGTCTCAGCCTCCCAAACCACTGGGATTACAGGCATGTGCCACCATGCCCAGCTTGCAACTGGTATTCAGAGTGAGTCATTAACTGAAATTTGATGCTGGATCTGGAGGAACTATGGGACAGCTTAAAGGATAGATGAGGCAAATAATTAACCTAGCACTGTGGGGGTCACCAGTGTCCTCCCAAGGCATGTATTCGTGAACAGAAGAAGAAAGAGAGATTCCAGTTCTATGTTGAATCTGTTCCTTCCTCCAACAAGTCTAAAATGATCCTAATCCAAATACCTTATTTTGGTCAGTAGCGTCTACCTTTCTTACCAAATCCTAAATCAGAACTTGACATGTTTTCAAATCAATCAAATTGAGTTTCATTTTCAGTTATTTTCTTGCCACTTTACTCAGGGAGAGATTCTAATGAAAATGACCAAAAGATTGGAAAAAGAAAAGCCAGGAAAAACCACTTAACCCAAATAATGTACAGATATTTGGCCTTTTATAATCACAAATTAAATGTTAATATAATTCAACAGATCTAATGGAAGAATACAAAGGAGCAAAAAGTCTTGCGTAGGCAAAGGAAAAGGCATGAAATCCTTTGAGGATTTATTTATACAAAGCCATGTCATTGATAACAGCAAATTATGATTTCATAGATTTTCCCAAGTCTAATTCTATAACATGAAGATGTTTTCATTGGAAGCTAAAAAGAGTTTTGCTATATATTTAAAAACTTTATTAAAAGAAGGAAAAGATCTTACCAACAATGAAAGGCATGGACTCTGGTCTTATTTGTCAGAGTCAAGCCAAACTAAACAACAATAAAGAAACTTTTTTTGTTTTTTGTTTTTTAAATCTACTATTAAATAAGAATTTGATTTTTTTCCCCTAAGGAAGGCTCATCTCAGCAAATATTGCCCTAACAATAAGAACAATTAGGCAAACCAGTAAGTTTAAGTCCTGGCCTAAGTTAAGATGACTTCATTTAATTGTATTTTTCTCAAGTTCTACTTGAAGGAGTAGTTATTGAACAACAACAAAAAAGTCCCTCAGAGCACTAAATCATTTATTTGATATTTATTGCACCTGTCAGAGCTTATTCTCAAACTTGAGATACATTGGTGGACAAATGTCCATAAGGCCTAATCTGAAATTCACAGAACTAAGAAAAACAAAGCCCCACATTCTCATGTGTCCCTGTTGACAGGCCATGGATGGGTGACTATAAGCTACAGAAGACTAGAAGGTACCAAGAAAGAAAAAAGGCCAAGAAAACACTCTAATCTCATTCTGAGTCTGACCAAAGGTATATGGAGAGGGTTAAACCCTAGGGAATAAGATTTCCATAATACAAATATGGCCCAAGAAGCTGTCATTTTGGAACTAAATTAGTCCAATCCAACAAAGCCCTTTAAGTTTGCAAAGCAACTTTATTTCTAACATACTTGCTACTGTGAGATGAAGCTGGGTCATCATATGCTGGGGACATTGGAATTGTGCCAACAAAAAAGTAATAAATCCAGATTTAGGAACATTATCTTGCAGTTTAAAAAACAGGTTCTGCCCACCTTGATTAACTTATTTTTTGATACTTTAATTGCTGACTTAGTGGAAAAGATGAGGAGGGAAAGGCAATAATTATAAATTATTTGGGTTTTTATTAAAGTTTTTTTTTTCTTCTGTAGAGACAGATTCTAAAATAAAGTTCAAGCTTCTGGGATCTGCTTTTCTTTCCCATAGAATCATGAAAAACACAGTGAGGCCAATCAGAAGAATCAGTCTCTTAATGATATATGTAATTCCATGTGCAAGAGATTGGTCATGCTGAAACCTGATACAGAAATGCTAAAAATGCTTTATCAATACTGTGTTCTACATGACTCATTTCTTTATAATTAAATAGCTTTCAAACATCAACATATCAGGACCGAGATTGTCACCATCTCCAGCAACAGCAGAATTACATATCATACCCTTATTCCATTACTTAGCATCAATCAGGTATGCTAAGCAGCAAGCTACAGAAACATCTGACAGCATCAATAGCATTCAGGTTTAATTACTTTCCCAATTTGCATTTATATCAGTGAACAAATTGGAAAGTATCAAAGTATGGCACTGAAGAAACAGCAACACAGATTGAGCAGCACATCTTGCATTTTGAGTCCTCTTTTAAAACTGGCTAAGTAAAGGCATATATACCTCCTTTGAATTGGAGGAGTAACACATGCATATCAGGAAGGGAGAAAAAGAGGACCAAAAGGGAGACCAAGACAGAGAGGAAAAGAGAAAGAAACAGGAAGTTTCATGAGTCGGAGAGTAACCTTATTATAAAGAGATGATAAATGACAGCTCAACCTGCTTCCACAGCAGAATTTTTTTAAGGTTATTGAAGATACAAAAATGATTTGTGAGGCTTTTCATCTGTTGCTACTCGTACTTTTGCTAAAAATATCTACAAAAATCCTAAGCCTTGGTTTGTCCAAGAAGGATAGTACCAGAAAGTAAAAGATGTGACCTGTTATCAAGGACTGTGCTCTGCTTGGAATCCTGTTCTGCAGTCCATTAATCCACAGTATTTTGGTCATATCTTGTCTGTTTTCTCACACTATTAGTAATGTCTAAGAACTAATCTTTTATAGTAGAATATCATCAGTCATTTATACTTTTTTAATTTTCAAACTTTTACTTAAAGGGCAGGAAAGATTAGAGAAGAAAATTTAGAGATTTGAAGGGGAACATGAAAGAAAAAGTATTCTCTTCCTAGAAATTCATTCTAGAAAAGATAGTAATGAGACTTTGAAAAAGAGTGCCGATTCATGGAATTCCCCCATTTTTTTTTTTTATTTCTGTGTAATACATTTAAGGACATCAATGTACTAAAATGTTTGGTCTGTGAAATAGCAGAATCATTAGCACCAAAAGGAGTCATGGAGCTTATATATAATTAAAACAATGATTGTTTTTGTTGGTCATGGGTAAAGGTTTCATATAATTTTTACATCCGAAAGTTCTTGAAAGTGCCTGTGGACAAAAGAAATAACACTTTTCAGAATCTCCATGGGGTCATCATTATACACCACAGAGAGTACTTGGCCTTCCCAGTTTTGGTTTACCTGGCAGACAAGAAAACCAGGGCCACCAGAATATCATCATTGAAGCCCTAGAGAACAGCCCCCACACGCGCTTACTGATGTGCAGGAGGAATCCCTACAGTACGCTTCCCCCTGGACTGTGTTCAGGAATGCGCTTTTACTTGCTTTTTAAAAAAAACAAAAGCAACATGCTCTGCAGATCATGGAGCGCCTAGTGCAATTTTCTTCTCACTCTAACTCCAGACTGCAAAAGGATGAAACCATTATGTGTTCTGCTAATGCTGGCCTGTGGACGAGGCCCTTGGCCTGCCATGCTTTGTAAGCTCAGGAGCCCACAGGAGTCAGAGGGTCCCAGAGCAGGAGCCACAGTCATCGTCTGATCTCCCCAGCAACTCGTGGCCCATCGGGGCAGCTGCTGATTCCTTTTGCTTCTCCTTGCCTCAGCTGTTAGTTGAAATTACAACAAGTCAAATAGCTGATGCTTTTCCCTTCTCCAGGGAGGGGTGAAGATACATTGTTCACCAGTGTGTTCTGTCTGGCTTCGCTGATAAGTCGGCATGCTAAGTCAAGGAAGAGTTTCTCCACATTATCAGATTCCTTGGCTGAAGTCTCCAGATAATACATGTCCTGAGCTTCTGAGAATTCTTCTGCTCTCTGCTGGGAGACCTCTCTCCTTTCAGCCAGGTCAATCTTGTTTCCTATAACAGTGGTATGATCAAAGAAAGAATCAACACTTGACTTTCTGCCAGCTCAGAAGCATAAAAATTAACTTCCAGATCTGAAGTCAAGCCAGACAGATGGGCTAGTAAAGCAAAGCAAATGTGACTGTGATTACTGGAATGTTTCTTTTAAAATATTAGCACTATTTATAATGACAAAGAACTGGAAACAACCCCAATGTCCATTAGTAGGGTACTGGCTAAGTAAGACTGTACATCCACACAGTGGAATATCTGCCCCTGTAAAAAGCCATTAGGAATATTTCTATATACTACCATGAAATGAGGACACTAGGATATATTAAGCAAAAAAGGCCGAGCAGAAAAATATAATTTACAACTAAGAAAAAGGGAAGAATATGAATATATATAAAACACACATCTTAATTTAAAAGATAATGGTTACCTATTTAAAAGAAAATAAAAACAGGGTTGAGAGGATAGGAATAGAAGTCAGGCCTCTCTGAATATACTTTGTTTTATAGTTTTGACTTCAGAAACTTACAAATGTTTTTCATATTTACACATTTAAAATTATACAATTAATACAAAGTATAATCCCTAAAATTGAAAGCAAAATTAAACAAAGATGGCTTCCATGTAGTGGTATAACCACACACAACTATTTCAAGTGAGTGTAACATATGGTAATTTAACCATACATCCTTAGGTATACATGCTGAAGACAAAGAATTAAAGGAAAAACTCTCAAACAGTTCCACTAATCATTTTGTCAATGGCAGTGCTGCTACTGTTACTATGAGGCTGCTATATGTATATTACGGGATAAAGCAAATAAGTAATTATTCTAGTATCACTGGGAACTAGAATTTTTGTCACAAGAAGGAAAAAATACAGATATAAGATTAATGAAGTTTAGTAAAATTTCTGCAATCCTGAATTATAAGTGGAAGTTTCAGTATGAATAATTCATGATGTATTTTATCTTTTAAAAGATAACAGATGTTTTCAACACCTACTCTCCAGGAAACCTGATAAAGATGATGTCAACTATTTTACCTGGCAACATCTCTTAAATGACCCAATTGATAAATCACTCTGACCTGGGAATTCTGTGTATGAATTATAAAGACCTACTGGAATGCCATAACTTGGGCTTCCTGAGTGTGCTGATTCTGTCCTAAAAATCAAGCTTGTATAGTTGTATAGGATGGCTCCTATGGGGCACTGAGGCTTTTAGGCCAGGCAGATTCCTCACTTGTCTGAATTGAGCCTTGTTTCCTGACACTTGAATTGTCCAGGTGCAGGGAGAGTCCTGGAAAGCTGTGTGGACTACTATGAGAACTCCTTTCACTGAAAAGGTATGCCTAATGCTGACATGCCCGTAAGCCATAATGTAAGTGAATATGATGCCAAATGTAACTTATGAGAGTCTTGTCAGAATATTTAGTGGAGCCTAGTAAGACAACCCTCTTGTGCATGGTACAGAATCCAACATATGCACACACATATATCAGCCCTGCCCACTGAAAAGCCTAAAAAGAATGGCCAACCTACCAATAAGGGGAACTCCTAACATGTAGATTGTGGCCTCTAAATAGAAACTTACCATTAAAAAGAAACTATTTCTTAAACAAATGAGGTCTGGGGCAGAAAAATGCATGGATTTACCTGGAATACTTGTCATTCCAGAAAGCAAAAAAATTATCAAAGAATTCCTAGGCTCATATCAAAAGATTTCAGGAATTCATTTGAAGCAATTTCTACTATCAAAATTCAAACAATCAGTAATAATTGAAGAATCAATAATAATTACAAGGTAGTAGAATACACTAAATATATTAAGTCCACAAGTTCATATTCTATTAAAATATAAACAAATTTCAATAGTTAATCAAAGGTCCTAGGGAATGAACTTATTACCTTGAAAAGCAGTGAATTTTTTAAAAAATCAGGTGTTCTTCTTTCTTATCCTAGAAGAACTGTACCTGAAATATCATATATGGGGTATTTTTGCTCAAAAAAAAAAATCCCCTAAAACAAATAAATCTCATCAGGCCTCTAGATTTATTTATAAATCTGTGAGAAATGCAGGTGAATAAGGGACATGTCAAATGACACCACAAAGAAAACAACTTATCCTTATTAACTCTATAGGACAAATGCTTTAGTGATAAATTCCAAGAGAAAAAGAAATGGCAATGGAACTTATAGATAAAGGGAGAATTAAAAGACAGCAATAAAGTATAGGGATTTGGATTTGATTTAAACAAACTTACCAAAAAAATTAGGAATATTTGAACATTGAATTTTTGAGGCTACTAAGGGATTGTTAATTGTTTTAGGTGTGAAAATGACATTGTAGCTCAGTTTTTTTTTTAAAAAAAAATCTTATCAAAGTCACATACTGATATTGTAAGGTAATGCAAAAATTTGAGACTTCTTCAAAATAATCTGGGTGGAAAGAATGGACAGAACAGATAGGGAATAGATAAATAAGATTGGCCATGAGTTAGGTGATACTTTCTGAAGTTGAGAGATGTATTCATGGGATTGTGTATACTGTTTTCTCTGATTTGCTTATGTTTGAAATTTCGATACCAAAAATTTTTAAAGCCAATCCCTTTCATATTGAACTAACTTATCTCTCCTCAAATTTCCATTTAACTTTTTTGGATAAAATCCTAAGAAGTAATGCTTGAATTTGAGGGCTTTCTCTAGAAAGGGCTTTCTGTGTAACACAGAAAACACAGGTCCAAAGCTACAGGCTTTCAAACACTTCATGGCAAGGGCTCACCACTGTACACAAGTGTTTTCAGTAGTGGGCTTGGAACACTAGCTCATAAAGAGGCAGGTACTTAAATAGCAGCCTGAAGGAAAAGTCCAGCAACTTGTTACAAAGCAACATGGTACACAATGTGACCTTGGACAAAGAATTTCACATCACTGAGACTTTACTTCCTAACTTACAAATCTGGGATCATGACATGTAAAGTTCCTAATATGATTCCTGGCATCTACCAGTTATAATGCTTGTTATAAAAAGTTTACTTAGTGTACTGTTAGCTATAATTTGTGACTTAATGTTTCAGAAGTTCCTTACGCATTTTTTTTTAAAGTCGGGTCTTGTTAAACTATACAGCAATTCCTTCCCCAAAGGAAAACATTTACAACCATACAATTATTAAAACTTTTCATCACAACTAGGAGATTTTAGTGATCTGGTTTTTACTGTAATTCCATTTTTAATGAGTATGTTTGTCACCACAGAAAAGCAAGGGTTGGTTTCTGGTTTTCCCCATGCTAGACAGAGGTTGTCTTCCTACAAAATGAAACAAACTGCAGCATTTTTCCCTTAGTGGACTGTTTCTGAAACAGAATTTCTCAAATCGGCAAAAATTTAAGAAAGGAAAAAAATTAATGAAAGTATTTTAGATAATAAATTCATTATTGGAGCAATTGCTTATTATCACCTTAGAAGAGATATTTTTTTTTTTTTTTTAGAAGAGATATTTTAGATGGGTGCGGTGACACATACCCGTAATCCCAACAGCTCAGGAAGCTGAGGCAGGAGGATCACAAGTTCAAAGCCAGCTTATCTTACAATATCAGTATGTGACTTTGATAAGATTAAAAAAAAAACTGAGCTACAATGTCATTTTCATACCTAAAACAATTAACAACCCTTAGTAGCCTCAAAAATTCAATGTTCAGATTTTCCTAATTTATAATTTTTTTTGGTAAGTTTGTTCAAATCAAATTGTTCAAAGCAATTTAGCAAGGCCCTAAGCAACTCAGTGAGACCCTGTCTCTAAATAAAAAGTACAAAAACAGGCTGGGGATGTGGCTCAGTGGGCTGGGGATGTGGCTCAGTAGTTAAGTGCACCTGGGTTCAATCCCCAGACCCCCCCAAAAAACCATTTTTTCCCCTTTTTATACTAGCAGTTTCTACCACCTTGTAACTAGGTTTTTAAAAAATGTATAGCAGCCCATATAACTTTTGTGACCACCCAGCTTCTCCCCTAGAGCCCAGAGAAATCAGTAATGTTTTCTACTTTATTTTCCTAAACTATCATGATGAGATAGAACTGATTTTTTTCTCTCTTCAATTGCAGATGAACTAATGTTGGTTGCATGACTTATCTAGCTAGAGACTACATTCTTGTGGGCTGGGGTTGTGGCTCAGTGATAGAGTACTTGCCTAGCATATGTGATGCACTGAGTTCAATTCTCAGCACCATGTGTAAACAAACAAATAAATAAAGGTCCATCTCTAACTAATAATTTTTTTAAAAAAAAGAGAGATTACATTCTTGGAAGATAGCAAGGCATAAGCCATATGTGATTATAAATTTTCTGATGCCCACAAATCACTTTTCCTCCTCATTTATGCTTACTTACCCACTAACACAGTGATGACCTTGTTGCTGGCATATTGTTCTATCTCCCGCAGCCACTCAGGAAGGCAACGGAAGGATTCCTCACAGGTAATGTCATAGGTAAGGATCAAGGCATTAGCGCTTCGGTAATAACTCTGTGTAATAGAACGAAATCTCTCCTGACCTGCAGTGTCCCAGATCTGGAGCTGTAAAGGCATAACAGAAGAAGCAGGTTGGAGAAGTAGAAAATAAGAGAGTATTAGCTTGCTTTACCTTAGAAATGAGGATATCTTCTCCCAGATAATTTCATGGTCATTTTATGCCATAAAGAAAGCACTTACAATTTGTTGTTATTAATGTTGTTAGGTGTTTCTGGTTAGAAAGAGGAGGTTATTTTGTTTGTTTGTTATTGTTTTCTATGCTATTAAGAGTTCCCTCTTTGTTTAAAAAAACTTTATTGAGTATGTTCCAAGCTCTATTTATGCACTTTGTATGCAGTAACTCGATCTTCATGATAATCCTATAAGGTAGGATATGCTTTCTCACAAGAGGAAACATGAACATAGAGTATAATCACTTGCTTGGTGTCTCAAAGCTCAACAAGGCATTATGGTCCCAGGCTCCATGCTGCTATACAGGGTAAGCTGTCATTCTGTGGCTATTGGTATTTCAGTCAGCAGAGATGGGGGAAAAAAATCCAACCTCACCACTCTTTCCAGTTCAAAATTCTAATGAACATATTAATGTATTATCTTTGTTAATGAAAACAGGACCATGCCATGGCAGACAAAAATTTTCCTTCTACCACTTTTAAGCTCTATGACCTTAGGCAAGTCACTTAATTTCTTTGGGTATCTGTTGTTTCTTTGTACAAATGGGTTGAAAATAAACAACCTGCTGGAAGTTCACATTTTCTAAACTCATCTACTAGTTCTAAAACATAATAATGGATGGTTTTAATAACCAAATAAAAAAAGGCCGAATAGTTCCCTTGATTCTCTGCACATAGCAGGCAAGGATTAGAAGAAACCTGTTTTCCAGAGAGACTGCTGAGTATACAGCAAATCACAGGGCCTTGAGAAATAATGTTAACACAACAGTAATCCCTTCTGACTGTATACATTTCGCAGGTCACAAGTGTATTTACCACCTTTTTTGTGTGTGTTAATATTTCAATTTTATTTATTTTTAAAATCTTTTATTGATTTTATTTTTTAAATATACGACAGCAGTGGAATGCATTACAATTCTCACTACACATATAGAGCACAGTTTTTCATATCTCTGTATATAAAGTATGTTCACACCAATTCGTATTTACCACCTTAACACCACTTCAGGGAAGGCCTCTCCAATCTACAGAATAGGTCAGGTACCCCATCCCCCACTCCCATTCTCCCCAGTGGCACCTGACACATTGGATCATCTAATAATTTAGTAGCTCTATTCCCCACTTGCCTCAAAACTTCATGACAGGGACCATGCCATCTTTGCCACTGCAGACTAATTTAAATGTACCTCTGTATCCAAAGTCAGGGTTTTTTTTTTAAAAAAAAAAAAGAGGGAGAGAGAGAATTTTTAATATTTATTTTTTAGTTTTTGGCGGACACAACATCTTTGTTTGTATGTGGTGCTGAGGATTGAACCTGGGCCGCACGCATGCCAGGCAAGCGCGCTACCGCTTGAGCCACATCCCCAGCCCCCAAAGTCGGTGAGACAGATGGGTGACTAGTAGTCTCTGTCTAGTAGTAATCTTCAGCACAGACTCTCCTTTGATTTGAAGTGACAGCTACTCTTTGATACACATGAAAGTCTGTGTAAGCTAAAGGCAAACATACAGATGGAGTTAGTTTTTGTTGGGACAAAGTTATTTCTCTTCTCTGCCTCAAACCTAGGGACATGGTTCCTTTCTGTTAGGATGTACTTAGAATAGCAGACAATTGTTTTAAAGCCACAATGAGCCTCTAAAACACTTGTGATTGGATTTAGATGCTGTCAGTCTTAAGAAATCAGTATGTTCTCATGACTGGCACATCTTGGGAACAGCTTTGAGCATTTTTCTGGAATAATGATTTTATGACCTTGCCAAGATATGTTATTTTCTCAAAGAGGGCTCCCTACTTCTAGCCTGATAGTTGATTATTAAGGGTGTTCATACTCCACTGTCTTTATCACTCAACTTGGTTTCATTCTCTGCAATCCACTTGCCTTATTTCAGCATTTACAGGACATTAACCTAGGCAGGGCACTGCAGTAGGCACAGAAGGATACAAGATAAAACACAACCCCCATCTCAAATAGCTCAGTCTATAAACAGGCCAAATCCATAGTTAATTAACTAACATACAATGTGATATGTTTCATTATAAAGGTACCAGAAAGATGGTTTCTCCTAATGTTAGTCTCATGCCTGTCAATATATTTTCAGTATTGCAGCCATGGATTTTCTAACCACTCACCTCCAGCATGGGTCTGCTCCACTGTCTACTCTTCCTTGCATACCACTTAACCTCTACTGTCTCACTGTCACAATAATGCAATGTTGTCCTTGGTTTACTAGTCTGTCTCCCTTACTAGACTGAGTTCTTTGAGGATCAAGGGTATTTTCCATTTGACCTCATAACCCAAGTGCCTTCCTAAAACAGTAGAGGGGGACACATTTGAATGAAGATTAACTAAATGAATGAAGGTTTGTGGAATCACAAAGGAGGGATTCATTAATTCTCCTTAAAAGATTGGTGGGATATAAAAGAAAATTCCACAGATAAAATGTTATCAGAGCCAGATGATAGTTAAGTTTTTAGTGGACAAAGATTTACCTACCATAGTGCTAAGCATAAAGCACATACTATAACATGGGTGGATGGGCGAAGAGCTGAAGGAATCAATACTTTTATGAGTTGCCTATCTATGCAACATAGATCTAATTTAAGAGAAATATAGCAAATTTTCTATCATAACTAAGGTTTAAACGTTTTAAACAAAGCTTAGTTTTGCTTATTACTCATTAATTTATGATAAGCCAAAAAATTCAATGTATAAGAGAAAACTCTGTATTCCAATTTTTTATTATGCTTAAATATACAAAAGAAAATTTATCATTTTAGCCATTTTTAAGTACCCAGGTCAGTGGGCTACAAATGTTTTAATTCTATTTTCTGCCTGAGGTCACTTTCGTGATGCATTCTACTTTAAAAGAAGGGCCTCTTCCTTAACTTTACCTCCAATGATTTAGCATGTATTCTCAGTAGCTACAAGAATATTTCTAATACCTCCTATTTCCCACTTTCAGTCTGGAAGCCATTCCTGAAAGACTGGTACTAATACGGAGGGACAAGGGGGCTGAAGCAGGAGAGAGAACCTGATTCACGGTCCTGTCACTTGCTGAGTGGGTGATGCTGCACCAACTGATAGTGAATTTTCTTTTCCACTGATTTTACAGGGTTCTGAGAAAGCCTACAAAGTACTAGCAAAAAGACACTAAAACATCACCAAGAAGAGGGACTCAATAAATGTCAACAAGTATGACAATAAGACAGACACTGTTTCCTTCTAATAACAGGTTATTTCTCCTATATCCACACATTAATGAGGCTCTTGAATTAATAAGGATGAATGTAGTGATTTCATATCTTGAGTCAATATACTGGGTTAGAAAAAAATCACAGGAGGATTGATTTGAGGGCTGGGGCTGTAGTCCAGTGGCGGAGTGCTTGCCTTGCATGTGTGAAGCACTGGGTTCGATCCTCAGCACCACATAAAAATAAATAAATAAAATAAAGGTTTTGTGTCCATTTACAACTAAAAAAATTTTTTTAATTGATTTGACCTGGATTTAGAGGATTAGCCTACTCTCATTTTTTTACAAAGTTACAGAACCCTGAAAGAAGTATTAGGGACAGGAACTGCACTGCAAATACAAAGATGAATAAGACACAAACCTTGTTCTTAGGGAACCTGTGGTCTTGTGGTGGAGTCAGTCACCATAAAATGATGAACTCTAGAAATGTAGTAAGCTCTTAAAAATGAGGCTATGGTTTTCAGAAAGTAGAATAAATGGAATACCTAAGCCTAGAGATGTAGGGGGGACAAAAATAAGCTGCTTCTTTAACCCTAGGGGCCATTTCTTATTCACCCTTATTTCTGCCCAGTGTTTGCCATAGGTAGGTACTAACATTTCTGGTCAAACAAATGAACTCACGTATACAATGTATAAATGGGAAACTCAGACATCTGGAAGTAAAATGCATGAAACAGTAGTTATCCTTACCTGACTCCAGTTGGCAACTACCCCATCTCTGCTGGAACAATAGAAAGCAATAAAAGGCTCTTTCCACTAATGCCTCTAGAGCACACTCCTGTCTCCTTCCTGTCCCCACACCCTAGTTCCTTCTTCTCACCCCAAACACTATTTTCCTGACTTTCTGGTCGGCATTTACATGGATTTCACACCTTCCAGTTATCTTCCAGCACCCTGAGCTCTCCATTCACTATTGTATTTGTAGATGTTTCTGCAGTAAAGACCCATTTTGATTCAGGGCTGGAAGACATACCAGGAAAGCTTCTGTTATCCACTCAGAGGCCTCAGCCTATAACTTATTTGTGATGGAAAGTATCTATGAAATGCAGCAAAAACATTATGGACCTTCTATGCCCTTCCCAAGGCTCTCAAAAGGAGGAGGTGGATGAAAATAACATGGACCCAAATTTGGAATGCTTAGGTTGGGATCTAGCTAGAAGTCTGATGCCAGCTTTCATCATTGAGCTGCTTATGGCTGGATTTATTACTTCCTTCCATGGGACTCACCTCTAAAAAACCTGACAATGGAATTTCGATAAATGAATGGCAGGTAGAACACAGTGCCTAAGATCAATATCTTTATCCTCTTTTCATGTAATTTAGTCTCATTTCATATTTATTTCCATCACCTTCCTTTCCTTGCTCCAAGGTGATGAGCCTTTTGTAGCTTCATTCCCCTCTTATCCCATAACAGGGGAGATGGCAGGGAGGCAGAACAGGTTCAAATCCTCCATTTCCCTTCCTGACTAGACAGCCATGAATAAGTAAGTCACCTATCTTTTTTTGAAGTCTGTAAAACAAGAATGATGCCACTTACCTCACAGAATTTATAGTAAAAATTAAGGTAACTATAAAAACACATGTAAAAGCACCTAGCAAAAGCACTGGCACATAGTAGGTACTCAAGAACACAATCTCTCTTCTCCTGTTACTGGAAATACCATACTTCTTTCAGGTATATCAAGCCACCCAGAAGTCACCAAATACAGAATAGGGTAGAGATCATGGATTCTTTCTTGAACCCCTCTTTTATTATCTATTACTAGGAACAAAGGTACATGGGAGATAGGATAGTTTTTAATAAGTGACTAATATGGCTTCATTACCTAAAATGAAATTTTTCATGGACCTGCTATTATAGGAGGCAGTATAGTTTATTGACTCAATTCATGAAATCCAAAAAGAAATTTCTTGTTGTTATATCACTTCTGATATGACAGAAGATAGGACAAACTTGCTTTAGCCCTTTTTTCTGTTCTAATCTGTAAAAATATCATCTAAAATCCCTTCCTCCTCCCACAAAGGGACTAGAAATAAGTGTCATAGTTGAATATACTGTTTTCAATGTCGGTTTCAATCAGATTTTTCCCCCACTGCAGATAAAACCCACAGGTACTTTACCACTGAGCTACATCCCCAGGTTTTTTTTTTTTTTTTTTTTTTTAATTTAGAAATAAGGTTTTGCTAAGTTGCTAATCCTCCTGCCTTAGCCTCCCAAGTAGCTGGAATTACAGGCATGTACCATCACACCTGGCTTTTGGGAGATTTAATAAATGTTATGAAAACATGACTACACAACTTCCCCTAAGCTTACACACAGCACACAAAAGACAAGTTGAACATTTAGCTTCTTACCTTTACTTTTTCACCATTAATCTCCACTGTCTTAATCATAAAATCAACTCCAATTGTTGCTCCTTGACCTGGGGGGAAAAGACCCTAAAGAACAAATAATTGAAACAACAGTTATGCCCATCCTTCAGGTAAATGAAATACTTCTTACATTTCATATTACCAGTACCAGGCTCTTCTTTTGGTTGAGCTAATTGGTAGAAAAAAGAATGTCGGCTGGTCTCATGGAAGCCCTGTTTAATTTAACATTGTATGTATGTTTTAAGAGGAAGAGAGAAGGGAGAACTTGGGATACAGAAATCCTGACAGAAGCAGAAACAGAAGGTGGATCAAAGAAATGGGTTGAGAGAGGGTGAAGGGGGAGAATCAGGAAAAGGCAGTGGGGGAAACCTGATTTTAATAAAGAAAAAGAAAAATCCAGGGAGCCACTGGAATGAGACTAGGATTGTTAGAATGGGGAGAAATGAATAGGCAAAATCAAGGAAGCTCAAAACTAGTTATCATGATTGGTCAACAAATATATGAAAAAAATGTTCAACATCTCTAGCAATTAGAGAAATGCAAATTAAAACTACACTGAGATTTCACCTCACTCCAGGCAGAATGGCAATTATCAAGAAAACAAGTAATAATAAATATTGACAAGGATGTGGGGGGAAAACGTACATTCATATATTGCTGGTGGGACTATAAATTGGTGCAACTACTCTGGAAAGGAGTATGGAGATTCCTCAGAAAATTTGATCCAGTTACCCCACTCCTTGCTATACATCCAAAGGACTTAAAATAGCATACTATAGTGATGCAGCCACATCAATGTTTATAGCAGCTCAATTCACAATAGCTAAGCTGTGGAACCAACCCAGATGCCCTTCAACAGATGAATGGACAAAGAAAATATGATATATATATATATATATATATATATAACTGAACATTAGTTAGTCATAAAGAAGAATGAAATTATAGTAAATAGATAGAAGTGGAGACTATCTTGCAAAGTGAAATAAGCCAATCCCAAAAAACCAAGGCCAAATGTTCTTTCTGATATACGGATGCTAACATACAATAAGGTGGGGGAGAAGACTAGAAATTCATTGCATTAGACAAAGGGGAATGAAAGGAAGGGGAATGGGGATAGGAAAGATATAAACCATTAAACCAGGAGGCAGCAGACTTAGGATCTCCAGGTGACCTCAGACTAACCACCCTCCCTCTCTGGGCCTTGAATCTGATGAGCTTTACCTCAAACTGGAAATATAGCAGTTTCCAGAGGATAGGATATTAGCACAATTACATGCATAATGTAATTTACTATTGTATAATATTTCCTGTAAGCTTAGAGAGGAAGTTGTGGGTAGCAAGGAATTCTACCAGGAAAGAACTCTATACCTAGTCTCTCCCCTCCTTATTCATCCATATTCTAGAATGTCCAGAAATTAAAGCAAAATGGACATTATTAGCTCTGACATCTAAGACTGGGGAATCTCTAATTAAGTCCATTTCCTGACAAGAGCTCCTTAATTAAAGTTTGAACTTAAAAGGCTGAGCTTCAAACCAAAAGAAAATGTTCCATTGCATTTCTGCAAAAAATGTAAATATAAACATTCATAACTTTACTTACAAATATTGAATCAATTTTCTTCTACTTTAGCTTGGCTCAGATACAAGGTTGCCAAGCTTCAAGTTTATAGCTCCAGCTGTTTTGCAGCCTAACAAATGCCAAAAAAATAAATCCTTCCCAGTGCTTTTCCCCACCACTTTGTTTCCTAACCCTTCATGTCTCAAAAACAGCTGAATCCAATTCATTTTAACTGCTTACTAAATAACAAACAAGCTTGTCTATGAAATATGAACTTTGGGGGTAGTTGAGGGACTGGGAGGATAATAAGTAGACAGAAAAGAAAAATGTGCTTGTTGGTAAAAATTATTGTTCAAGAAGGAAAGCATTTTCACCTTCAATGATAGGGTTTGTGTTTTTAAAGAGAATGATCTCAGAGGTTAGAACCCACAGGACATAGAAATATCAGGCTGAGAACTAAGAGACCCAAATTCTAATCCCATTCTTGTCACTAGTATGATGTGAGATCATAAGCATGTCATTCACTCCCTCTACATCTAAGGTTTTCATCTGTAAAATGAGAGGACTGAATTGAATCTCTGACCTTTCAGTAATGAAACAAGGTCAAGGGAACTTTTGATAAAGGGATTGAAAATTTATCTGTATCTTTGCAGTTCCACAGTCTTGTTCTTCTCTTAAAAGCAGAAAAGATTACTAATGTTAGACAGATGTAAAACCAGTTGGAGTTTCAATGTATCTCCAAGGTGGTTAACTGAGCCCCAGATGCCTGTTAGCTTTTTGCTTTTGATTTCACCAGGCCAAGGCTTAGTAAAAAGCATGAGTTATTTTCTGTGTTTCTTATCATGGGAAAAACCCTGACATTTCCAAAGTGACTCTGAGCCATAAAGCTGTTTGTGTTATCCAATCTGCCTCTCCAGTTTTCCACAGACTTCAGAGCTGAAAGGGGCCTTAGAGTTTATTTGGCTCCCTCATGTGGAGCTGGGAGACCTGGGAAGGGGAGGAACTAGGACAAGGACCTGTGTTTGAGCACGAGCAGTGCTCTTTCCATGGCACCATGTTGCCCTAGACCTTAGAGGAGCTAGTCTTAACTTTCCCAATGTGTACTTTAGCAAAATACAAGCTGAATGAATGATAGCCCAGAAAAAGGCTTCATTCTCCTTTTCATAGGAAAACACAAAAGGCCAACTTTAGAATGATTTCTGATTTTCGAATTTAAAACAGAATGTAATCTTGGCTAGTGAGTTTCAAGAAGGCAGCCCCAAAGGAAACTTGTACTTAGGTCATATGATAAGGCTTCAAACCAGAAAGGACATTCAGTTCAGAGAGTTCTTCACTGTTCTCATCTCATCCCCATTTATGAGGTTTAGAAAAATCAGCATATTTGGTTCTAAACCAAAATGATTCACGCAGTTTCTTGGGAGGAAATGAGGCATAGGCAGGGAGTTTGAGTTTAATTTGCATTAATTTATTTGTACCTTTGGATTATTAAGAACTAATCTATTTTTTATCCAATAAATTTTGAAACTTCATACTGAAAATAAAACCACTTGCTCCCAAGAGGTGTGGGAGGGTTGGTATTGACCCCCACAGCCAAGCTCCCTTGAGGGGATTTAGAAAAAGCCTAGGCTACAAAACTGATACCACTTTCAAAGGGTGTGTTAAGAATGCACAGCCTAGAGGCTGGCCCTGGGACCAGGCACCCAATCCATAAGATTCCTCTAAGGCAGGCTAGACAGATAAAACCCACTCTGGGATTCTGAGTGCTCTTACCTGAGTGAACCGTCGGACTAGGCACGTCTTCCCCACACCAGCGTTGCCAATTAAAACAATTTTGAACAGGAAATCATAATCTTCCATACTCATTTACACAGCTGCAAGGCAAATACAGGCAAGAGTGAGAAAGGCCCAGAGAACCCAAGGTGCACCAGCCCCTTCTCCTCAGGAATAAGAAATCTGACTCATTTGAAGAGCAATTTAATGTTCCCCTCTGGTGACCCTGCCAATGAGAGAGGAACACAGGTGTCTAGTCACAGATAGACTTCATTCCTCCCAGCTATGTCATGCCACAGGAAGTAATGACAGATGTCCTTTCACTTGGTAACCTTTATTCCTCCAAGCAGTCAGGTCACAAGTCCTCAGTGATAAGATCCATTTTCTTTCAGTATAAGAGAAACATCACCAGGCAAGTAGGGAGTGGTGCAGAGAAACAGGGACAAAGGAGAGTCCATCCAGAACTTTAAGGATGTTTATGTATTGTGCATGGCTCTGGAAAAAGTACTAGCAGCTAGGAGACTGAAGGGACTGTAACTATGAAGGACCCTTTTGGTCTCCTTCAAGTCCTGGGGGTCTTACCAGTGGAAGTTATAGTCATCTTGTCCTCCGATCCCCACCTCATTCCTATATACTTTCTCCAACCACACAGATGCTAAAGGGACCCTGAAGTGCCTATCTTTTCATTCTTCTGGGCTTTGGCATTTATGAGTTTCCCCTGTCGGGATGCCTTCCCTTCAACATTATGAAGCCCTTCAAGGCCCAATGCAAATAGCTATTTCTCTCTGAATTTTTTACTAATCTTACTTAAATAAGGCAAAACACTTCCACCAATCTTCTGTCCTAAGACTTCACTTCCTATACACAGTTATTCAAATATCTGTCTCATCCTTGAGGGAAGTAACTATGTCTTTCAATTCTATATTCCCACCCTCTGGGACCGAGTTACCCTTCATAAATTTTTACTCTATAGAAGGAAAAAAATAATGGGCATATTGTTTAAGTATAGGCCTTAGTTTCTCCAACTGTGCTGAAAAGAATACTGTAAACTGTCTACTTGAGAGGACATTTTTTGAAGATTTTAAAAACAACCTCTCAAAGAGCCTTGGTACCCTATCCTGGTGAAAGCAAGTTACTTATTAAGTGTTTCTATAGTACTCTATCACCTGGGAGGTGGGCCACCTCAAAACCAACCAAGGAAAGTTAACAACAAAAAAGTTAAATAAATCATAGAATAGGTCCAGTAGACTCTAGAGGGAGAGGCAATGGATAGACAATGAGCCCCTGGGGTGCTTGAGAGAGTTAGAGAAGCCTCAAGGTCACTCCTACCAGGAACTAAAGCTCAAATGGCTGCAGGCAGAGAAAAGAGCCCCAGGGGTTGAACCTGTCAAATACTGCTAGGGAAGTAAATCCACTGCATACAAATGTGGTATCCAGTGGACTTAACTAGCTCTTGATAAGATGACTGGCAACCAAGCCAACACCCAGGTGGCCGCTCTTAGGGTTCTCAGTTCACTTAAATTGTGGAGGAAAATCTTTCTTTGTGTAAGAATCTGAGTCCATAAGCAGTGGTTTGTGCTGGCCATATGTCTGGCACTATGTGGCCCTTTATGTATATTTCCATTTGTTTCTGCAGTCCAGAGACTGAATTCTCAGGTAATATACAGTGTTAAGGTATATTACCTGAGCAAACTGAGATTAAGGAAAACCAAGGGGGCCCGAAATCATAAAACAACCAGACTTCAAGTTCCAAGACCATGTGTGTCATCAAAAAAACTTTGGAGCTGAAGAGACCCAGGTTCAAATCCTGCCTGTGCTGCTTTCTAAGTGACCATTTTCCAGAGCTTCAACTTCCCTATTAACAAAATGAAGCTTATATCACTTATAACAGAATAATGATGCGTGAAGAAATGAATGGAAACCTCAAGGACAGGACCAGGCCCTTAGTCATCCAAACTCCTTCTCTTGACTCACAAGTTTTCCATCAGCTGGTTTCCTCCTTCACTGCCGGCCTCATCTCTCACCAGCCTCCTTATAACACACACTTGAAGCTCACTGGATTTCTTCTCTTCCTTAAATACTGTAGGATTGATTTTCTCTTCAGATATTCACACATACGTCTGCCCAGAACACATGACCTAATTTCCCATCCCCTCACCTAGTCCAGATAACTTTTACTTCCCCTTTAGGTCTCAGCTGAAACATCCCTTTCTCTAGTTACTTCTCTAACTTGACAGGGAGCAGCTTGGGCCCCCTATGAAGGTTCTCCTGACACCCTCTTCATCTCCTATGATAATACCCACCACACTTTACTATTAAATGCTTGCCTCATATTTCATCCCCATCCATAAGCACCTCAATACTACTGACACATTCATGACTGTGCAGCATGAGGGTAATGAAGTGAACTGCACCCTGATCCCAACCTATCATCATCAACAGCAGCAGCATCAGCAGCAGCATCAGCAGCAGCATCAGCATCTCACTGGATATAAAGTCATCTAATATCACAACTATGGGGTAGACACTTGACATTCCTAAATTACAGCACAAGCGAAGCGAAATAAGAAGGCACTGAGGTTCCACAGATGCTAACTAGTAGGGTTGAGATTCAAACCCAGACAACCTGGCTCCAGCACCCACATCTTTGAACCACTAGATAGTGCCTCTCACTATACCTGGCTCAGAGTAAGACCTCAAGAAAGATGTGATGAATTGAATGAGGGAGGACAAGCATTTTTATAAATGTGATTTCCCTTTTCTCCTCCCCTCTAGCTTCAGGCCCAAAATTCTACCACATTATAATAGTTCAAGTAAGAAACAAAGTCAAACTCCTGATAAATTTCAGGGATGTGAGATGTCAGTTAAAACTCACTGTTAAAAATAAAAAGAAAATAAAACTCAAGCATATGCAAGGTTAGCAGGAAGATGAAGCTGTGTGGACCAGGACTCACTGCTCCCATGAGCAAATGAGAAACAGGAAACACCGGACTGAGCTGCATTCTTTTCCTGTGTTTTGCTTGTTTGATGCACATTTATTTCTACATCTTTGCCTGATGTCAAAAGAACAAAGTAAGAAATACAGAGAATTCCAAAAATAAAGAACTCAGAAACAGTGCTCCTAAGAGAAAGTTATCAGTGCCCAAACTATGTATCTTTATGAAGAGAAGAAAGAGGGGGCTCTGTCAATGCTGCGTCATGTGGTTACCACCTGGAGCAAACCACAGAAAAAAAGACATTTCCCCTTTCTAAAAGAAACTTACTTTCATGCTTTGTTGAATATGTTTCAGTTTGGGTTTTTTTGTTTTTGGAGCTGGGGACTGAACCCAGAGGCTCATGCATGCTAATCATGTGTTCTACCACTGAGCTATACTCCTAGCCCAAGTATTTTTTAAATGAACCTCTGAAGAAAATGGTTGTGAGTTTAAAACTGCAGGCTTAAGCTGGACTGAGAACTCCAGATTACCTGCTTTGATTAATGTTCTGTTTCTAACAGAAAACATGTGACTGTATGATTACACGACTGGTGTGATTCTACATCGTGTACAACTAGAAGAGTGAGAAGTTGTACTCCACTTATGTATGATGTGTCAAAATGCATTCTACAGTCATGTATAACTAATTAGAACAACAACAAAAATTTCTCTTAAAAAACAATCATCTTAGCTGGATACAGTGCTGCATGCCTGTAATCCCAGCTACTTGGGAAGCTGAAGTAGGAGGATAACAAGTTCAATGCCAGCCTTGGCTGCTTAGCAAAATCATGTCTCAAAATAAAAAATAAAAAGGCTTGGAATGTAGTTTAGAGGTAGAATATTACTGGGTTCAATCCTCTATACCAAAAAAAAAAAAAAAAGACAAATATTCTAAATAAAGGGAAGAAGAAACTTTTAAAAAGAAAGAAAGAAAACACATCTGAATTAAATGTTCATAGATTCTCTGGAAAAACCAAGCTTTGAGTAAGCTCTTCTGTGTAGTCCATAACATAACAAACAGCCCAGGCATCAAGGAATCACTTTGTGATGAGAAAGTATCCAAGAGGTGGGGAGATACCCATTCAGAAGTAAACTAGTTATAACCAACCCTAAACTGACAACAAAAGTCACACCTTGTCTCACATTTAGGAATGCCAAGTGAGGATCAATCAAGCACATTACTGAGATGGTCTTCTGCCAAATTCTGGGGATTTCCCACTCTGTTACTGTCAATAATAACAATAATAGCTAACACTTATTCAAAGCTTATTATGTACCAGGTACTGTGTCACATGTAGTTATGCATTTAATCCTCACAACTCTATGATGTAGGTAATCTTTTTTAAATTTTTTTATTCTAATTTGTTATACAGGATAGCAGAATGCACTACAATTCATACTATACATAAAGAGCACAATTTTACATATCTCTGGTTGTATACAAAGTATATTCACAACATTTGTGTCTTCATACATGTACTTTGGATAATGATGTCCATCTCATTCCACCATCATTTCTAGTCCCATGCCCCTCTCTTCCTCTCCCACCCCTCTGCCCTATCTAGAGTTCCTCTATTCCTCCCATGACCCCCTTCCCTACCCCACTTATGAGTCAGCCTCCTTATATCAGAGAAAACATTTGGCATTTGTTTTTTTGTGATTGGCTAACTTCACTTAGCATGATATTCTCCAACTCCATCCATTTACCTGCAAATGCCATAATTTTATTCTCTTTTATTGCTGAGTAATATTCCATTGTGCATATATACCACATTTTCTTTATCCATTCATCTATTGAAGGGCATCTAGGTTGGTTCCACAATTTAGCTGTTGCGAATTGTGGCTATAAATGTTGATGTGGCTGTGTCCCTGTAGTACGCTGTTTTTAAGTCCTTTAGGTATAGACCGAGGAGAGGGATAGCTGGGTCAAATGCTGGTTCCATTTCCAGTTTTCCAAGGAATCTTCATACTGCTTTCCACATTGGCTGTACCAATTTGCAGTCCCACCAGCAATTTATGAGTGTGCCCTTTTCCCCACATCCTCACCAACACTTATTGTTGTTTGTATTCTTAATAGCTGCCATTCTGACTGGAGTGAGATGAAATCTTAGAATAGTTTTGATTTC